AAGGTTAAAGTTGTTCTGCACGGGTTGGGGGATTGTCGCCTGGATAAGAGGCCCTAAACCATGGGATTGTATGGCTTGGGAAATCAACCCTAAACCCTAAACCCTAAACCCTAAACCCTGAACCCTAGGGCTGAGTCAACCCACAACGACAAGGGAGTCATTTTTTGGCCGTTTAGGGTTTAGGGCTCCAAGTTTTAGGGTTTAGGGTTTAGGGCTCCAAGGTTTAGGGTTGAGGGTTGAGGGTTGAGGGTTGAGGGGGCTACGTCCTTTAGGAGGCCTAATCGCTACCCCAAGAGCAAATGTTCTTGAATGGTCTCCTTGGGCTCCGAAGATACGACTTTCATAGTTGTTGTATAGGGTTTAGGGTTTAGGGTTTAGGGTTTAGGGCTTAGGGCTTAGGGCTTAGGGTTTAGGGTTTAGGGTTTAGGGTTTAGGGTTTAGATGGGCCATGGGGTCACGCCAGGCGAGTTGCTCGAATGGGCTCACTGAACTTCAGCAAAAAGTTGATGGTGGCGAAGACGTTGGTCTGCCGATTTTGGGGGCGTTTGTATAGGTCCTTAAACCCTAAACCCTAAACCCTAAACCCTAAACCCTAAACCAGGGAGGGGTGTTCATGAGGGGGGGGGGGGGGGGGTTGTGGGGGGTGTTAGGGAGCCTCGGGTTGCGTACTCCCGTTAAACCCCTCTCCGTGAAGAACTCGAGGGTTTAGTATACGGCCTTTAGGGTGGAAAGAGTCATGGGGCGGCATGCTCTGATTTGAGAATGGGAAAAAAAGGCGGTTAAGCAAGATCCCGGAGCCGGGGAATGTAGATAGTCCTGAAAACAGCCACCCACACCGACAGTATCCCTGACGCCTCTTCCGAATCCTCCCATGTGAACAAACCTCCGCTTGCATCAGGTTCAGGTATACCTTCAATCGCTTTCTTTAATTCTGTAGGTGCAGAAAATGTCAGCTAGGGCTTGGAGGTATCACCCAAGAGCCCCCAATCTCCAAAAACATCACCTCAGGGGCTTCCTTTTAGGTTTAGGGATTCGGGTTCAGGTGTAGGGTTCAGGGCTGAGGGTTTAGGGTTTGAGGTTTACTTAGGGTGAATCCTAAACGTGTCACCTTGACGGCATAGGACGCCAGCTCAGCGGCGGTAGGCTTCCCGCCCATCTCCTGCCAGCTTTGGGGGGGGGGGGGGGGGGGGGTCAGCGGGTATATAAAGTAGGGTATATATTTCTTGTACCCCCAAAAGGCCACCAAGTATTATACACTCACCAATTTTAAAAAAGGAGCCTTATATACACTCACCAAGAACAGACATGTATACCTTACTTCATATGCCCTTCTGGTTTAGGGTAAACCCTCTAGTGTGCCATTCCTTCAAGTTTAGGGTTGGCCTTCCATGGTACCATTCCTTCTGGCTTAGGGATGACCCCCATAGTGGTACAGGGGACGATTTGGGAGTTCTACCTTTCTGGGATCCCTTCACGTGATTTTAAATAGATGTGGTGGAAGACCTTCCTTCCTAGGGCCAGAGCAGCCGTAGTGAGGTTTGAGGCTAAGGGGTTTTGGGGTTTGGAGGGGTTTCGGACTTCGGGCAGTTTAAGGGCTTAGGGAAGTTTAGGGTTTGGGGCTGAGGAAGGTTAGGGTTTAGGGTTTAGGGTTTAGGGTTTAGGGCTAAGGGTTTAGGGTTTGGGGTTTAGGGTTTAGGGTTTAGGGTTTAGGGTTTAGGGCCAGCCTCCCGTACCCCTCTGGCCTCCGCGGCCTGGGACGCCACCGACGTGAGGCCCTGGCCAAGGCCCAAGGGTTAAGGGTGTTTGGACATCCTTATAACCTCAAACACTGCTAAACCCTAAACCCTAAACCCTAAACCCTAAACCCTAAACCCTAAACCCTAAACCCTAAACCCTAAACCCTAAACCCCCGAATTGTCCCCTAAACTCTAGGACCTCAGGCTTCAAACAGCGAGGGCTTCACCAATGCTTTAGGAGTCAGAGCAGCTCGGCCTGTCACGGTTTGGTTAGGGCTTACTTGGAGGATCATGGGGCGCAGTTAGTTTAGGGTTTAGGGTTTAGGGTTTAGGGTTGCCCGAATTTGTACCCTACTTACGAAGTCCCCTGGTCCTTTAAGTACCGGCTTTAGGTTTTGACTGTTTTAAGCCTCACGGTATACACTCAAGGGACTACAGGAGAGGAGGGACCCTTACAAGGGACCCGAGGGGTCATGTAAGGGCTACGTATATATATATATATATATGCATATACATATATATATATATAGGGACTATATAAGGTAAATATAGGGGGTTTTGTAGGGGAAGGAGATGAAGGCCTCCTGAGATCCCTTACACAGGGCTCATGGTTCCCAGTTCCTTCTGCATGGGGCGTGGGGGAGGGGGGAGGAGGAGGGGGGTTTAGGGTTTAGGGTTTAGGGTTTAGGGTTTAGGGTTTAGGGGTGGGGGGGGGGGGGTGCCATTGGGTGATGGAATGTTTCGCAATCACGAGAAACTGAGACCCCCCAGAAGCATGAAACACATGCTTTAGAGTTCTCTTGGGCTGTATGCATGTGTTTATGTGTATACACAGACTGTACCGAAAACCAATATCTGAAGGAAACGATGGGGGCTATCAGCTATGAAGCCGCAAAAGTGCCCTACACCTCAAGCTCAAAACGCACACAGATTGAAAGGACCTTGGACACCTTGAACCCCAAACCTTAACCCTGAACCCTAAAACATAAACCCTAAACTCTAAAACCATAAACCCTAAACCCTAAACCCCAAACCATAAACCCTAAACCCGAGGCACGGCCTTCAGAACCTTGATGCCTCTTGGTGGTGCACACTTTCTCACCCGCAACCCAACCCGCGGCAAGGAGATGAGCATGCGCAGTAGGGCCAAGCCCTGAAAGGCCAAAATTGGGTGTTAGGGTGTTAGGGCTTAGGGTTTAGGGGCTAGGGTTTAGGGTTTAGGGTTTAGGGTTTAGGGTTTAGGGTTTAGGGTTAGCGTTTAAGGTTAGGGTTTAGGGTTTGAGGTTTAGGGGCAGGCCGCCTGGAGCAAGCCTTCCAGGGCAGTGCTCGTCGTCTGCACGCAGACAGTGGGAACCCTAGACCCGAAACCCGAAACCCCAAACCCTAAATGCTAACCCTAAACCCTAAACCCTCAACCCCAAACCCTACACCCCAAACCCTAAACCCTAAACCCCAAACCCTAAACGCATGCATGGGATGCCGGGAGTTCTGATCTGGGCTCCAGAATCTACTTGGAGCTTGAGATCTCTACTTGGTGTAGGGTTTACGGTTTAGGGCTTGGGGTTTAGGGTTTCGGGGTCTAGGTTTTAGGGTTTCGGGTTTTGGGATGACAAGCTAAGGCCACCTGCTTGGAGGAGGTTCATGGAGAGCTGAGACTGGCGTTCTCGGGAGGGTAACTACAGCTAGAACTGGCTGGAACATTGTTTGGGATTCTTACTTACATGGACCCCTCAATCTTCACGTAGACTCCAAGCTGCCTAAAGCCCTGAATCTTGAAGTACGGGCGGCTTAGGCCAAGGCTTTAGCTCGGGGTGCAACTTAGACTGACCCAGGGATGCGGAAAGCGGGCCCAGCTGCTCAGATGTTCCTTCGGCGGTACCCCTAAACCCTCTAAGCCCAAAACCCCCAAAATAGCATCGTAGGCGAGGTCGTGAAACCCTCCGTCCGGTATCTGTAATGGGTTTGGGGTCGCGGTCTCGGATTCTGAGGTGCTTGAAGGAGGGTTCTCCAAGTAACCTGGGCTTCGGGATTTTTAAGAAGACAAAGGAGACCCCGCGCTGGAAGAGTGGGGCTAAGAAGGCACGCCCGCCCTAAAAGGTAGGCCTTGCAAGGCCGGTAACCCGAAACCGAAAACCCTAAACCCCTAAACCCCTAAACCCCTAAACCCCTAAACCCCTAAACCCCTAAACCCCTAAACCCCTAAACCCCTAAACCCTAAACCCTAAACCCCTAAAAAATCCCCCTACCCTGGTCTGGGGCTCTTCCAAGGACCGTACCGTTTCAATGCTGGCTCCTAGCGACTCAGAGGCAACTTTGGGTTGTCAAAGTTTTCATAACACCCAAACCCCCCTAAGCCGCAGAAACCCTGAAAGACATCCCCTGCAGGCCCCTGTACAGGCCCTAAGCCCTAAAGCCAAACCCCCTAAAGATCGGGGCTTGTGTCAGGGCCCGAACCCCCAGAATCAGTCCAAAAACGTTAAGAATCACAGCAGTTGTTGCGCCTGGGTCTCTTCGGACCCCTTCGAGCCCAGGTAACTGGGCCGCAGGCTGGGGTAGTTTTGCTGGTTCTTACTTGGGAGGTTCAGGTTTCAGGGTTCAGGGTTGAGGCTTCTAGGGCCAGGCTCGGTCGAAAACATGTTAAAGGTTTGCGTGGGGCGTGGGTCCACACTAGCAGCCAGTAAGCTTCTGAACCCTCACCCTAAACCATCTATAAGCCCTGAACTAATATTTAGGGGTTCTACCTCCCTAAACCCTAAACCTCCCAGGGATCTGGCTTCAGGCGAGGAGCGTTCCTGCAGCCCCAGCCAAGGCTCCACAGTTCGTGTGGCCCATGACGACGACCAACCGCGATCCTCTCAGTGCACAAGGTAACTCTAAGAGCAAGAACTGCCTGCAGCCAATACCTCCTCAAACCCGAAACCCTAAAACCCAAAACGCCCGGTTGTACACTTCATACTCAACAGGGTTGACACAAGCCCTTCGGCCGGAAATCCTAAACCATCCCTATTAGGGGCCCAAAAGCCCCTACATAGCAAGTACTTTAAGGTCCCCAAGTATTCCCTATCTAGGTACATGGGCCCCCAAACCCTAAACCCTAAACCCTAAACCCTAAACCCTAAACCCTAAACCCTAAACCCTAAACCCTAAACCCTAAACCCTAAACCCTAGACCCTAAACTCTAAACCCTAAACCCTGAACCCTAAACCCTAAACCCTAAACCCTAAACCCTAAGTCTAGGGTTAGGGCACAGATCATGTCAAGAATCCCAGCTTGCCGACGCAGAACTCGAGGCTGCCCACAATGCTGCCTCGGAGCCGTCTGATGTTCAGGGCGTTTAGGGTTTAGGGTTCTAGGGTTTAGGGTTTAGGGTTTGGGGTTTAGGGTTTAGGGTTTAGGGTGTAGGGTTTAGGGTTTAGGGTTTAGGGTTGTGGGGTCGTAGGGTTTAGGGTTTAGGGTGTCGAGTTTAGGGTTTGGGTCTGCAACCCATCTTTCCATCAATCTATTCGTCTTGTCCTGCAGGTACGTACCTCCGTGTGTGTATGGATGCAAAAGAACAAGTAAAAGTATACTCTCTTCGAGCCTCACCCTAAACACTCCAACAGAGCACAAAAGGCATCCCAAAACCAAGCCTGGTACGAGCCTTCCTAACTAAACCCTCTAAAGCGCACAAGAAGCATCTCAAAACCCTATACCCCTTCCCGCAACCTTGACAAACCTATCCGGTGAAGGGCTTTGTGGATTTAGGGCCCCTAAACCCTAAACTCTAAACCCTAAACCCTAAACCCTAAACCCTAAACCCTAAACCCTACACTCCTAAGTGCTTTGTTTTGCTGAAAAAGAGGGCTTTAGATATCACAAAGAGCCAGGCCTTCTGCATGAGTACAGGTGTTGCCCGCGTTGCGGAGGATGAACCTGACGCTGTAGCTTAGGGTTTAGGGTTTAGGGTTTAGGGTTTAGGGTTTAGGGTTTAGAGTTTAGGGCTTAGGGGATTAGGGATTAGGGTTTAGGGTTTCGGGTTTGGGGCTCAGAGGACAAAATGTGTTGAAACCATATTAATCTCTCGCAACTCTCACTTAGGGTCTGGCGTTGGCGACAACATTCGGGGTCCCTAAACCCTCAACTCTAAAACCAAACGTTCAGGTCTTTCGGTGTTGGGGCTTCCGGCTTCTTCACAAACCCAGCGCGATGCAGTCAAGCGAGATTCCACCGAGCCCAATTAAACTGTGTTTTTGGCCACTGGGGCTTTGATGCAAATTTTTGGGGCTCATATTATATACGGTTTGAGGTTTCCATTGTCTTAGGGTTTTTATGGTTTGGGGTTTGCGGTGTTTTGGCTTTTCTGGTTGAGTGTAATTTGGGAGGGCTGGGGCGGCGAACTCCCGAACCCGCAAAACCCACAACAGGATCTACGGAAGAGTCCCAAGACCCAATAGGCAGATGAGGGAATGAGGTACCCTGACTCCTCCCTCGAACCCTTTAAGGGGGCCTTCTGGGGGTCCGAATCCCCATTTCAGACCGCAACCCTAAACCCCAAACCTGTCAACCTAAACCCTAAACCCTAAACCCTAAACCCTAAACCCTAAACCCTAAACCCTAAACCCTAAACCCCAAAGACCCCGAGCTCAGGATGGCGCAGGTCTCCCGGGCCGGCATCGAAGATCGTCTCCACAGGGGCGCGGGAGTCCGAGCCTTGCTCCAGAAGGGTGTGGGGTTTAGGGTTTGGGGTTTAGGGTTTAGGGTTTAGGGTTTAGGGTTTAGGGTTTAGGGTTTTTCGGTTTAGGGTTTAGGGTAATTACTTCGCCTTGCTCCAGAGGGCTTTTCGACATTCGGGTATGGGGTTTAGGAGGTTTAAGGTTCTGAAACGGAATTGGGGGGGTTTAGGTCCCTTAGAGGGTATTATCGGGTATAGGGCATAGGGTAAGTACTTTGCCTTGCCTCAGAGGGTTCTTCGACATTAGGGTGTGGGGTTTAGGGTTTATAGGGCTTAGGGTTAAACGGGTTTTAGAGGGTGTAGGGTTTAGGGGTATATAGGGTGAAGGGTATAGGGCATACAGTAGAGGGTTTCGGGTATAGGGTTTAGGGGGTAAGAGTGTTTTTTTTTGTTTGTTTGCTGCGGGTGTTTTTTTGTTGCGGGTGCGGGGCGCGTTTTTTTTTTTTGCTGCGGGTGCGGGGGCGCGTTTTTTTTGATTTTTTGCTGGTGCTGTGGGGGCGCCTTTTTTTTTTGCTGCGGGTGCGGAGAGTTTTTGCTGTTGTCTCTAATTTTACTATGAAAACCTCTATTTTCTCTATGTTTTAATAGGAAAACCTCTTTCTTCTCTCTATTTGAATATGAAAACCTCTATTCTCTCTACATTTAGTATGAAAGCCTCTAGTTTTTTCTAATTTCTCTTTACTTGAATACGAAAACCTCTATTTCTCTACATTTTAAAACGAAAACCTCTATTTCTCTCTATTTTTGTCTACATCGTCATGGTTTTCCTCTATATTTAATGAGGAAGACATGAGAGAGGAATACATGGGAAACTCATTCTCTGTGTTATCTCAATATGTGACTTGCAATTAAAAGTGTGTATGTTCCTCTTGTCCTATTTTAATAGGAAACCTATTGTTTTCTCTGTCCCTGAATAGGCAAACTTCCATTTTCTTAAAATTTGAACATGAAAAACCTCTATTCTCTAATAATTGAATATCAAGACCTCTACATTTTAATATGAAAACACTTTGTATTTTCGCTATATTTTCGTATGAAAGCCTCTATTTCCTCTATGTTGTCATAGGAAACCTCTACTTTCTCTATATTGTATAGCGAAAACCTCTATTGTTCTATAGTTTACTATTTTGTCAGTATTCTCAGACTTCTTCTCTTTATTTCACGAGGAAGACATGAGAGAGGAATACATGAAAATACTAATTCTCTATATGTCATAAGAGTACATGCATTATCTCTATCTGTGACTCGTAGACAACAAGTGTTTTTGTTCATGTCTCATAACGCAAGCTCTATTTTCTCGATTCTTTACTAAGAAGACGTTTATATCTCTATTTTTAAACGGAAAATTCAACGTTCACTATAAGGTCTGAATTTTCGTAGGAAAGCAAGCATATATTCCTTTTTTCTGAGGGGGGTTGGGGGCTGCGCAGACCGCCGCATTTGAAAACACAATGCTCGCATCATTGGTTTGGAAGGGATTCGTAAGCTTTGAAGCAGGCTTGCCGGCAAAAAAAGCGCGGGGGTTGGGGGGGGCGCAGGCGGCCCCCCCATTTGCAAACACAATGCTCGCATCATCATGGGTTTGGAAGGGACTCGTATGATTGAAGCAAGTTTGCCCGGGTAAAAAGCGCAGCCCCCCCCCCCTTCAAGCGGGGGGGGGAATGCTCTAATGATGGGTTCGGAAAGGATTCATTTGCTTTGAAGCAAGCTGGCATGGCTTTAAGAAGCAGGGGGGTTGGGGGGGGGGGGCGCAGCCCACCCCATTTGCAAACCCAATGCTCGCATGATAGGCTTGGACAGGATTCATATGCTGAGAAGCGAGCTGGCACGGTTTTGAAGAGGGGGGGGGGGTCGGGCGGGGTGCAGCCCTCCCTCCACAGTTTGCAAACACAATGCTCGCATGATGGCCTTGGGAAGGATTCAGTGCTTTGAAAGCGCTTGCACAGTTTAAAGGAGGGGGGGCGTTGGGGGCGGGGTTGGGGAGGAAATTGCAAAACAAATGACCTGGGGGGTGGGGAGGAAAGGGGGGGGGGGGGGGGGGGCGCGTTTTTTTTTTGCTGCGGGTGCGGGGGCGCGTTGTGTTTTTTGCTGCGGGTGCGGGGACGCGTTTTCTTTTTGGCTGCGGGTGCGGGGGCGACACGCGCCAGGTCACTCACTCACCTGGGCGGCCCCCGAAAAAAACACCCACAGCAAAAAAGCACCCACAAAAAAAAAAAACACGGGTTCCAGGGTTTAGGGTTTAGGGTATCCCACCTCAACCTGAAACTCTCGACGTCCTCAACCACTACTAACGGAATTAGGTGTTGAAGGTATAGGGTCCCCCTAGATATACCCCAAATACACTAGAATCCCCTTCAAGAGGACCCCCCCGCCCTCCCCCAAAAGGGACCCTGAATACAGAAACCTTCCTTTGGAGAACTCGGGAATCGCAACGTATCCCAGCAAAGTACCAAAAAAACTTCCAGGGTCCTCTGAAACACCGCTGGGGTTGCAGGGCAAACCCAAAACCCAAAACCCTAAACCCCAAAGTTTTCATCCTCAAGGCACTAAAGAAGGATAAGGGACGATGTGAGGTATATATAAGTGTGTATACCTTCTAGAGTCCCTCCTTGTGCCCCTTAAAACCCGAAGAGCCCTGCAGCTTAACCAAACCCTAAACCCTGAACCCTGAACCCTTGCCGGTTTAGAGGGCATCTTCCGGCTGGTTCTTAGGGATGAGGGAATGAGGCGCCCTGCATAATCCCTGAAAGGGTTTAGGGTTTAGGGTTCAGGATTTAGGGTTTAGGGTTTGAGGTTTAGGGTTTAGGGATAGAAGGGACCTACTTCCCTCACTCCCCACTAGAACAAGTGGACCTCGCCCTAAACCCTAAACCCTAAACCCTAAACCCTACACCCTAGAACAAGTGGACCTCGCCCCCTTGATCCTGGCAAGCCACAGCCCACGATGGCTGCCATCGGGGCCTGGCCCTTCACAACCAGGGCCTTGCGCGTGTCCTGCAAGGGAAACCCTAAACCCTAAACCCTAAAGCCTAAACCCTAAGCCCAGAACCCTAAACCCTAAACTGCTTGGGGTTTGGAGTTTAGGGGGATTTGGGGGGTTGAGGGGGTTGGGGGGTGTTTGGGGTGTTTGGGGGTCTGGTGGATTTCGGGGGTTTAAGGGGTTTAGGGGTCTTGGGGCTCGGGGGCAGTCCAGGGCTCAGGGTGCTGAGCCCTCAGTCCCTTGGATGTTCGGCGACCCTGGGCGATTTTGTTTTAGGGGCTTGGGGTTCAAGGTCAAGGGTTTACTCAGTATTTGGAGATTCTTGTTCTGAGCAGACAGACCAGGAAGAATCCCAACCTTAGCAGCTGCATGACAGCGGGAGCTCTTCAAGCGTGACGTAGCGCGTGGGCGTGGGGCGTTTCGGGGTTGAGGGGTGGGCTTGTGATCCAAACGCAGGCACTGTACTGAACTTGGAACCCTAGCAAAAATCACAAGTTTAGCTGTTTCCAAGGAATCATACTACCCCCCCCCCCCTTCCCCAAAAAAGTTGCCAAGTACCCCCAAGGTCAAGCATTGCTCCTCAAGCCCATGAACACACAAAGGTTTTAGGGTTTAGGGTTTAGGGTTTAGGGTTTAGGATTTAGGGTTTAGGGTTTAGGGTTTAGGGTTTAGGGTTTAGGGTTTAGGGTTTAGGGGACCCAGCTCCTCGTTGGCGGTGTGCGCCTCCGGCGTACCTTCGCCAACCCGAAAACCCTCTGCCAGAACTGCTGGAAGCCCTCCCGAAAGCTATGAAACTTCAAAAGCCGCTATAGGTGCTGGTTCTTGCCTGGCCCTTGCTAGGGCTTGTGGCTTAGGGTTTGGAGTTCTGAGTTCAGGGTTTTAGGGTTTAGGGTTTAGGGTTCAGGGTTCAGGGTTCAGGGTTTAGGGTTTAGGGTTTGGGGACGCAGAGAGTGCTTTGGGAGGCGGATGGGGCGTGTCCGGTAGCAGGCTCCTGAAGACAAAGGGGTACCCGGGGGCATCATGGCTGTCAATCTAAACGGGTGCCCTCTAAACCCTAAACCCTAAACCCCTAAACTCTAAGCCCTAAACCCTAAACCCTAAACCGTGACCCTAACCCTAAACCCCAACCCCTAAACCCTAAACCCTAAATGCCCAAAAATGGAATCGGGGTTTAGAGTGTTGGGGCTAGGGATCCAAGGGCTCTGACGAAGGAGAAGCGAGGGTGCGTGTGATCCAAACCTCTAAGGCCCCTAAACCCAAGCTGACGGTCAATGCGCCAGGTGGAACTATCCCCCAGACCCGAAGCCCTAAACCCTAAAGCCGCCTATCATCCACCAATTCCAAGCCATTTTTCGGCAAGTCTGTCGAAACCCAAAGCCGTAAACCCAAAACTTACGGGAAACTTACGAGGTGGCCTCGTGGGCATTACCTCGAGGCTGGCGGCCCCTCGTTTTGGGCTCAGAGTTTTAGGTTTTAGGGTTTTAGGCTGCTGGGATTAGGTTTACAGTAAACTCCAGAAAGTTGAACATGGGATTCCCTTTAGTATACCTTTTGGGGCATGGGGATAAGGATGTTCCAACTTTTTGGAGTTTACTGTAGGGCTCCCGAAGCCCTGAAGTAGAAGTTCGGGACCCTAAACCCTAAACCCTAAACCCTAAACCCTAAACCCTAAACCCTAAACCCTAAACCCTAAACCCTAAACCCTAAACCCTAAACCCTAAACCCTGGTGGAGGGTTTTCAAACAAGCGCAGGGTGCCCAGAAGGTAGCGCTGGTTGCCGGCTGCCAGCTTCTGCAAAGCCTGGGACATGTTGGGGGCGTTGTAGGCTTCAGGGTTTAGGGTTCAGGGTTTAGGGTTTAGGGTTTCTGGTTTGGGGTTTAGGGTTTGGGGATTGGGGTTTAGGGTTTAGGGTTTGGGGTTTGGAGCTTGGGGTTTGGGGTTTGGGGTTTGGGGCTTGGGGTTTAGGGTTTAGGGTTTAAGGTTCATGGCCTAGGATCGGGAGTTGGTTTAATGCTTGGGGTTAGGGCGTTCCGACCCTTACAGGCACCAAACACCCTCAACAGCCCTCAGCTCGATGTTCCAAGCGCTCACCAACGAGGGGGTTGGGGTCTCACCCGAAAACCCTAAACCCTAAACCCGAAAACCCCTAAACCCTAAACCCTAAACCCTAAACCCTAAACCCTAAACCCTAAACCCGGCACCTCGGTGGGCTCCATGGCATCGGAGTCCACAGCCGTTCGGATCTTCGGCTCCGTGCCCTGGGCCGAGGTTCCAGGGTTGCTGGGGCTTAGGGCTTAGGGCTTAGGGTTTAGGGTTTAGGGTTTGGGGTTTAGGGTTGAGGACTGAAGGGTTTCCGATTCGAACTGCAAGAGTTGCGGGATTCTCCCGGTTTAGGGCTTTTCAAGGCTCAGGGTCCTGGAGGCTTGGGGTCTAGCGCTGTTTGGTTTGGGGGTTCGGAGGTCTAGGGTCCTGGAGGTTTAGGGTTTAGGGTGCTTTGGTTTAGGGTTTTGGTTCAGGCGCACAGTTGGACAAGTACGCATTGCTGGTTTTGGGCCGAGACGCTCGAGATGGACGTTTGTTCGTCAAAAGCAACTGCACAGTCCCGGCGTTTCGTAACCGAACCCGCTTCTAAACGGCCCTGAGTTGGAACATACCCCAACTCATTCTAAACCCCAAGCCCTAAACCACATCAAAAAGAAGCCTCGAAAGGCCTCAGTTGCAAATTCCTGTCTACGCTACGGCCCTCCTATTTCTAGGGTACCCAAGAAAGCACCAGGTATACATGGAAACCTGTTGGGCCTTCAGACCCCCACCTAAACTCTCTCTTGTAGACCCCCCCAAAAAATACTTTTGGGACCCTAACCCTACACCCCAAAATACTGTTGGGTGTTTGGAACCCTTATCGAGCCAAATTCGACCTCTGATCGGCAAAAGGGGGCATTGCTCCGTATCGAGACTGAATGTAGACTTTCGTGTTGGCGTGTCTAGGGAGGGCAGCGGTCTACGTGCTACCCCCAAATCCATCCCTCAACCCTAAACCTAAAGGGCCTTGGAGGCTTTTAGGGCAAAGACCCCCCGAACCCTAAACCCTAAACCCTAAACCCTAAACCCTAAACCCTAAACCCTAAACCCTAAACCCTAAACCCCTACCCCCCCCCCCCCCCCCCAAAAAAAAAAAAAAAGGCGCAGGACTTCGAAGCCCATCAAGCCTTGGTAGGTCATAGCGACGACTTCTTCTGGTGCTCCACGAATCCCGAAACCCGACCCCCCAAAACCCAAAACACGAAACCCTAAACCCTAAACCCGAAACACGAAACCCTAAACCCGAAACCCGAAACCTGCAACGGCTTAGGGCCGCCTTCTCCAAGGCGGCCTTCATCGACGGAGGCAGTGCCGAGTTGGAGTTCAGCAAGAAACTCGGCGTAAGGCGGGGTTCAGTGTTTGGGGCTACTAGTGTTTCAAGGGTTTGGCGTAAGGTTCAGAGTTCAACTCCCTTGAGTCAAAGCGAAAGCCGAAGTCCTCAAAGCCTCAGAGCTTCAGTCCCTAACCACTTTGTTTCAGGCTGGGGGTTTGGGGCTTCAGGCTTCTTAGGGACACCCCGCAAGCCCTAAACCCCCAAACCTCCCGCCCGACATGCCTAACAGCAAGCCGGTGCCTCGAAACAAGAAACCTTTCGCTGAAGCGCTGGGTTTAGGGTTGAGGTTTAGGGTTGAGGCTTTAGGGTGTATTTAGCTTCAACCGCAAGCAGCTTTATAAGTTTAAATGCATGTGCACCCCAAACCATTAACACGACATCCAGACCCGAAATGGCTAGTCCTCAACTTGACCGCTAAGCCCTTAACCCTAGATGTAGGACCCTAACGGGTTTATATAGGGTCTAGGGTTTCGGGCTTTAGGGTTTGCCCTAAACATAGAAACTCAGACAGGTAGCTCCTGCTGCGGACTGCGTCCCAGCCACTGCACCTTTCCTGTTTGCGCGGCGGGTTTAAGCTCTTCAAGGCTTAAGATCACAAGGTCTTTGGGCTAAGGTTGTCGTTTGATAAGGTTTGAGGTTCTGACGGTTTGAGATACAGAGGCTTCAAGATTTTGGGTGTTTGGGGTTGTTCAGGTCTCGGACGCCTGGGCTTGTGAAGGTTTAGGTCTTTCCATTCTGGCCCATCGATCCTACGACTGGCGACAACTATTCTTCTCGTGCGCCGAAAGTGAGAAGAATGATCGCGGACAGCTGAAAGAATGGGACGTCGCATGTATGTCCTACTGTGTCCTAGTAGCCACCGGCATATGTACTCAGAACAGATTGCTATCCTCATCTGAGAAAAGCTCTCGCGGAGCTATCGTTCTCGTGATTCGGAACCGACGAGCAAGATTTGTGTAACCAGTTTGAACAACGGCACAGACTGGGGAAGGTGCCGTTAGAGTTTAGGGCTCTTGGACAAAAAATGGAGCCAACAAAAACTCGCGTCGTCGGTTCTGCTCGAGAGCTACGGGGTTTACGAGCTGTGCCCAGACGCCATGCGTCTCGATGTAGGTCTTACAGTAAACTCATAAAAGTGGGAACATCCTTGTCCTTAGACCCTAAACCCAAAACCCAAAACCCAAAACCCAAAACCCCTAAACCCCTGAACCCCTAAACCTTATACCCCAAAAGGTATACTAAAGGCCATCCCAGCTCCAATCATCCTTAAACCATGTTCCAACTTCTGGAGTTTCGTGTAGGGCATATTTGGGGTTTAGATTGCATTTCGCAATAAACGAGACGGACGCCCTCTCTAGCCCAAAAGGGTTCCGGCAGATTCTCCCAGGGCAAAAGATGCGCACTCGATCAACTTGGGCACCCTAAACCCTACAACCCTACAACCCTAAACCCTAAACCCTAAAAACCCCAAAACCCTAGAACCCTAAAACCCTAAAACCCTAAAACCCTAAAACCCTACAACCCTAAAACCCTAAACCCTAAAACCGAAAACCCTTGTGGGTGGCATGTTCGTGACAACGTCACTTCTGACGGTGGCCAAGGCTCAGGATCTGACCCAGAGGGTCCATTTGTAGTACTGTTATGGAATTAGGCACCCCAAAACCCTACTGAGTATGGTTTTCTGGGTACCTAATTCCATAACAGTACTACAAATGGACCCTCTGGGTGAGTTTCTCTGGAGAAGGAGCTTCGGCTAGTGAAAGTCTAAAACCAAAAACGATGTTGAAGACAAAAGCAAATTGTAGCTGTAAATGCCGGTAAAGCAGGCTGCTGACAGTAGGAAGTTACATCTTTTGCTGCGTACCCTTTGACATGGCAAATTTAAACCGCAATCCCACCCTGACCCCAATTCCTAAACCCCAAGCCCCGCGCTCACAACATAAAATCCCTACAACA